ATTCCTCTGGAAAATTTGGGTGAAACTTTAAAGTCGATTTTCTCGAAACTTTTTCCAAAATGCGAATTCTCTTTTTGACTGAAATAGATAGGGGACATGTTAAAGTTTAGTTTGCGACAAAAATTATACCTCTCGGGTCAAAATTGGCGAAGTTATGGCCTTTTTAGCGGAGGGGTGGGGGTCGGCAGTTTTCCTATAGAGTCTAGTTGCACTGGTAGGGGTGAAGACCAAAACTTTGACAGGCTGCCCTGGGGAAACTATCAGAGATAGAAAGCTGAAATTTGCACTGCAGGTACAGACTGGTTGGAAGTTGCTGTGTTCCAAATTTCAGGTTCCTACCGTGAAAACTCTGCCTGTTACAGCACTTTTGGTTTCTGATTTCTTCCCCAAACCACAAAATAAGCGATTTTCCTCTGGAAAATTTGGGTGAAACTTTAAAGTCGATTTTCTCGAAACTTTTTCCAAAATGCGAATTTCTCTTTTTGACTGAAATAGATAGGGGACATGTTAAAGTTTAGTTTGCGACAAAAATTATACCTCTCGGGTCAAAATTGGCGAAGTTATGGCCTTTTTAGCGGAGGGGTGGGGGTCGGCAGTTTTCCTATAGAGTCTAGTTGCACTGGTAGGGGTGAAGACCAAAACTTTGACAGGCTGCCCTGGGGAAACTATCAGAGATAGAAAGCTGAAATTTGCACTGCAGGTACAGACTGGTTGGAAGTTGCTGTGTTCCAAATTTCAGGTTCCTACCGTGAAAACTCTGCCTGTTACAGCACTTTTGGTTTCTGATTTCTTCCCCAAACCACAAAATAAGCGATTNTCCTCTGGAAAATTTGGGTGAAACTTTAAAGTCGATTTTCTCGAAACTTTTTCCAAAATGCGAATTTCTCTTTTTGACTGAAATAGATAGGGGACATGTTAAAGTTTAGTTTGCGACAAAAATTATACCTCTCGGGTCAAAATTGGCGAAGTTATGGCCTTTTTAGCGGAGGGGTGGGGGTCGGCAGTTTTCCTATAGAGTCTAGTTGCACTGGTAGGGGTGAAGACCAAAACTTTGACAGGCTGCCCTGGGGAAACTATCAGAGATAGAAAGCTGAAATTTGCACTGCAGGTACAGACTGGTTGGAAGTTGCTGTGTTCCAAATTTCAGGTTCCTACCGTGAAAACTCTGCCTGTTACAGCACTTTTGGTTTCTGATTTCTTCCCCAAACCACAAAATAAGCGATTTTCCTCTGGAAAATTTGGGTGAAACTTTAAAGTCGATTTTCTCGAAACTTTTTCCAAAATGCGAATTTCTCTTTTTGACTGAAATAGATAGGGGACATGTTAAAGTTTAGTTTGCGACAAAAATTATACCTCTCGGGTCAAAATTGGCGAAGTTATGGCCTTTTTAGCGGAGGGGTGGGGGTCGGCAGTTTTCCTATAGAGTCTAGTTCCACTGGTAGGGGTGAAG